ACAATACTTTTGGACTTACTCTCATTCTAGCCCAATTTACATAAAGGATTTGAGCATTTGAAGATTTAAGAGTGTTCAAGAGCAAAGATGTAAGCCTGAGGATTAAGTATGCGTGACCCAACCCAGGGTATTTTCAATAAACTCATAAAAGTTGAAGTTGGACAGTGAATAAGAAAGACCATAGAAGATTTGGTGTATTAGCATAATAGTGTTGGAGGAGAATACTAAAAGTACCATGGACTTCCAGAAGAACAAATAGATTTGTGTTGAAAGAAGTACAGTCAGAATGCACCTTGGAAGCTAGGATGGCCAGACTTCATGTCTCATACTTCAGACATGTTATCAGGAGGGACCAGTCCCTGGAGAAGGATATCATGTTTGGTAATGTGGAGGGCAGAGAAAAAGAGGACCCCCAAAGACATGGATTTGCACAGTGGAAGCAGCAATGGGCTCAAAGGTAGTAACGATTATGAAGTTGGCACAGGACAGGGCAGTGTTCCATTCTGTTATGCATAAGGTTGCAATGAGTCAGTGCCAACTCAATGGCACCTAACTATCAGGGTCTGAGACCGGCTCAGACCACTGCGTGGGTTACTCGAAGGAGAGGCGAGGATTAATTAATCAGATAAGGATCAACAGGCTGATGGCCAGTGATAAAGTTTATTGTACAACGTGGTTTAAATAGGACTTTTAGCATTAGGTCATTGTTATTCTGCCTAGTTACAATGCTTTCTATAGTAACAAGGATATGATTACCCACCAGGATACTAACCAGGATATGATTACATAAGTATAAGCATTGTTATAGCAACACAGAATCGCGCGATTTTAGCTCAATTTAAGTTCCCTTTTCCCAGGATTGTCCTAGTTACAATTAACAATAAGTTTCGATCACTGACATCACCTTAGCCAGGTGAAACTTGTCTTCAGGCCAATCATAAGAGCATGAGGGCCGACTCGGCTTTCACCATTAGATGGCACTAGTGCTGGCCTCCAACAACAACAACAACACTAACATAGGCATTTGAAGGTTGGAAAACGAATAAGGAAGAGCATAGAAGAATTGATGCATTTGAGTTATGGTGTTGGAAGAGAATATTAAAAGTACCATCGACTGCTTGAAGAATACACAAATCTATATTGGAAGATGTACAGCCAGAATGAGCCTCAGAAGCCAGAATGGCCAGACTTCATCTCTCATACTTCAGACATATTATCAAGAGGGACCAGACACTGAAGAAGGGCATCATGCTTGGTAAAGTGGAGGGTCAACAAAACAAGAGGAAGACCCCCAATGAGATCAATTGGCAGTGGCCTTAAGCATAGCAACAATTGTGAGATTGGCGTAGGACCTGGCAGTGTTTCATTTTGCTGTGCATAAGGTCACTGTGATTCTGTATGGACTTGATGGCACCTAACAACAACAACCTTTATTATCCCAAAGGATACAGGATGATCATGGAAGCCTCTTAGGATGAAGTTTTAAGAAAACTAAAAACTGCAAAAGTTGCACCAAAATGTGTGTGTGTGTGTGTTTTCCATCACAACAATGCACTTGCTCATTTTTCAAGAGTAAAAAATGCTGTACTACAAGAATTGGGAAAACTTATTCCCTCCACCCAACAGCCCTGGTCTTGCCTCTTTACATTTCTTTTTTGTTCCCCAAATTCAAACATTTAAAAGGAGCACAATTTAAGTCCTCAAGGATGCCAAAATTACTACAAGATGGTGTAAATTGAAAAGCATATTCTTCAGAGAAGGGTTGTTGTTTTTGTTAAGTGCTTTTGAGTTAGAGTGGTGAAAAGTGTATAGACCTAGATGAAGGATATGTTGAGAAACAATAGCTTTATATTTTGATACTTTATTTAATATTTGATATTTCTATGAGGTTATAGCAATACTTTTCACTTACCCTTGTGTCTGTGTGTGTTGCAGGCATGTATATATAACAAAATTCAACATTTCAACACTTCATTAGAAAAAAATTGTTTTGTGACATATATAATTCTTTATTGATGATTTTGTTGGTTTTTTGTTTGCTTTTTTTTCTTTTTGGCACTTAAAATATGTAATCCCATTGCTTTCTGGACTCCAAAACTAATAATATTAAATACTCCTTATAAGTGATGAGTTGTTTCTCCCTTTTTCTTTCAACAATTTGATTGTAACTCATCTTAATGTACATTTGTTTGAATTTGTCTTACTTGGAGTTTGTTTACTTCTTAAATGTGTAGATTCATGTCTTTTATCAATTTTCTTAAGTTTCTAGCCATATTTCTTCAAATATTTTTTCTTCCCTTTCTCTCTCTTGTCTTCTTCTTAGATCCTCATTTATACACATGCTGGCATGCTTTGACAAATTTAACATGGGATAGTTCTAATGGATGGAAAAGCATGATGAGTGTAATTAATGCTGCAGAACTGTACATGTAAAAATGGTTCAAATGCAAATATTCTACTGACAAAAATATTCAAGGAAAAGAATCATAGTATTGGTGGAGGCATGAAAAATGGTGGAGAGAGGAAAATGAGTTCCCCATTTGCTTCCTAAGAAGACACTCTTCCTATACACCTGATAGCAATGCAGCTCGTTTTCATCATAAGATCTCTGCATACATCACATGTATAAAATCTCAATCTGGAGTTTTACATAAAAGCAATAATAAAATACAAATTAGAATTTTCTAAACCCTCAGGAAATTAAATTGTATAATTTCTTTGAAAAATCCTGGCAGAGAATAACGTGAACATCTGGGAGCCAATATCATGGCAGACAATGAAAGGATAAATTCAAGGGTTGTGCCCTAACTATTGTTTTCAAAAGTGACCAATTAGCTGCCTCCAGGGAACCAGCCCTGCCACATGTTCTTTAACATTTAATGAGGTTAGGGAGCCTGTGCCCTCTGATCTCTGCTCCACCCAGCTCATCATATTTATTGACCAAATATAGTCTTGTGAGAAAACTATTGCAGAGGGATAAGATAAGCATACTGGGACATTCTCACCTTTGATGCAGTGGAATAAGGACGCTCTTTCACATGGAAAGGTGCGGATACAATGGAATTACTTTGTGCAACAGAAGATGTTTGGAACAGATGTGCTGATGACATCTTTGGCAGAAGCCTTGTCTCTACAGCTCTCAGAGAAGAACACTCAGAAGCAGCCCAGTTGTGTTAGCAGATGCAGAAGGTGAGCAGGGGCACTGCATGTGAAGGGTACTGCACACAGGAATAGGCAAAGTCAGTCTTTTCACCAGAATCCTAAGAAATCGCAGTCAAGTTCCAGTTCAGCATTGAGGATAGTGGAAAGTGTCTATATATTATAGACTTGGCTCCTTTCTGGGTCTTCGGTAGTCAAGGCTGCCTTACAGCCAACACCCCACTAAAGTGTGAAGCATTTTGTGCTGTAGAGAACACAGTCAGGTTTGTCAGTCTGTGGTATTGGGAAGATAAGATGATGATTCACCCTTCTCTGGGACAACAGCCAAAGGCAAATGCGTTTCCCTTTCCTCTCCTTTCCCCTCAGTCCAGTGCAAGCTCTTGATTTCTTGGAATAGTTGGACTAGGAAGAAATCCTGCCACTGTGAGGTGATCTGTATGAGTGTCTTTTCTCAGTGAACAGCAGAGATTTCATTGTAAACTGGCAAAGGAGCAGAACCTCCTTCAAGCAAAGCAACTCAGGTGCAAGAATTTTGGTTACATCAGCAGCATGTTTGGGAAACTAGGCCCATGACTGGTGAGTGACATACTCTGCCCTGTAAACAGCTCATCTCAGTGTTAAGACACTAGAGTCAAACACCATCGTAAGAGTTTGTTGAGGGCACTAAGGAAAGAATGAGAGGGTTCGTTGAAATTCCATGTAAGAATGCATTAGAGTTTTCCATTTCCGTGAATGTCCTAAGTGGGCTAACTCTAACAACTACTGTGACACAGGATCGCTATTAAATGCCAGCATAGAGCTTTGGAAAAATGGAGTAAAGTCCTGGACTTAAAATTTATACCATCTTGTTGAACAAGTCTGATATCTCTGGTCCCCAGTCTTCTTCTTTAAGATGGCTGTACTAAATTAGATCTGAGGCACATGCCATTCTGTAAACCAATAAATCATCAATGACATTAACTGGAAAATATAAGACATGAAAAGAAATAGAGCTAACTTTCACTTAAGATTGAGAGTGTCAAGAATAGATTTTTCTCCTAAATACATTTTGTTATATTTTAAATACACCAAGGGCTTTGGATTCAGGAAGCCCTGGTTGGAGGCCCAGCTCTGCATGTCCAACTGTGTGACCTGACTTCTCTGAGTCTCCACTTCCCCTGATGTCTAAGTCAGGAGAGACAGGACATTCATGATTACGGTGGAGATCAGTAGAATAATTCGTTGCTGTGTCTGGACACAAGCATTAGCCAAGTTCTCAACAAATGATGAGGATGATGATTTAGACCAAAGAACTTGCATATGTTTGTTTAAATTGGTTCAAAGGGAATAGTACTAACATTGCTGCTATGTTTTATTTATAAATTGATTACATGGTAAGATACATTAAAATGTTTCATAACTATATAAATGCTAATTCTGTCTACTGAACACAGCATCTTTATATTAATGATTAAATTATTGCAAATAGACTGAAGAACACATAGATAGCATTAACATCACATGTCAAATGAGTAACATACTTTATTTTATTTAATTCTCATAAGCATATGAACAAGTAGGTCCTATCATTATCTTCATATTATAGAAAGTGAAAGCAAAGTTCAGAAAATAGACAAACTTTCCAAAGATCAGACAGTATAGCTAATATTGAACTCGCATCCTTTTGATTCCAGAACCAACTCACTAAACCACTATGCTATTCTGCTTAGCTTTATTCTCAGGTATATAATCAAACAACCTGCTCTTGTGCTCCCTAAAAACGCAATGCTCAATTGATCTCTTTGATCTCTATGATCTCTGTTGTAGATTAAAGCCAGTGGGTGGTGCTGCTGTGCAAAGAGATGCCTGTGGACATGAGAAATGGGACCACTGTCCAGGAATTCATCCTGGAGGGGTTTCCTGCTGTCCAATACCTGGGAAAAGCTCTCTTCCTGGTGCATCTGCTGGCCTACCTGGCATCCATTGCAGGAAATGCAGTGATAGTCGCTATCACCTGTGTGGATGCCCGGCTCCATACACCTATGTATTTTTTCCTCAGCATTTTTTCCTTCTTTGAATGTTGCTTTACAAGTGCTGTTATTCCTAAATTGATGGCTATCTTTCTTTTAGGCAGACAAACTATTTCTTTTGCTGCCTGTTTTATACAAGCTTTTGTTTTAGTATTTCTGGGGACATCAGGTTTTCTCTTTATAGCTGTGATGTCTCTGGACCGGTACATGGCCATTTGTAGACCTCTGCACTACCCTACCATCATGAACTTGAGAACTTGTTTCCTTCTTGTCACTTCTTGCTTTGCTTTGGGCTTCACTCTCATCACTGGCCTAGTGGTGAAGGTTTCTCAATTATACTTCTGTGGCCCCAATATCATCCACCACTTTTTCTGTGACCTTGGTCCTCTAATCCATCTCTCCTGTTCTGACACCAAATCTGTTGAAATGTTGGCATTTATCCTAGCTTTGTTTATCCTTTCTATATCCCTTATTATAACAGTCATTGCATACAGCCAAATAATTGTCACAATTGTGCATCTTCCATCAGCCAAGGAACGCCAGAAGGCTTTCTCCACCTGCTCATCTCACCTCATAGTTCTCTCTCTGATGTACGGCAGTTGTATCTTTATATATGTGAAACCAAAGCAAACCAAGAGGCTGAACTTCAACAGAGAGGCTGCTCTTGTGAACACTGTGGTGACCCCACTGCTGAACCCTGTCGTCTATACTCTGCGGAACAAGCAGGTCCACCAGGCTCTGAAGGAGGCTATGAATAGAATAAAAATAGCAAGATAAACAAACAAAAAAAATCACATCATCTTGAAGAGAAAATCTTCTGAGAACCATCTGTCACTCTTCCAGCCAACATAGCAACTTGAGTTATGGTGTTGTAGAAGAATATTGAAAGTACCATGGACTGCCAGAAGAATAAATAAGTCTGCCTTGGAAGAAGTTCAGTCAGAATACGCCTTTGAAACAAGGATAGCAAGACCTCATCCTCATACCTTGGACGTGTTGTGAGGAGGGACCAATCCCTGGAGAAGGACAAGCCATTTTAATTTACTGTTGCCAATCATTTTTAATTGAAAAAAAAAAAAAAAAAGCAAAAAACTTATCAGAATTCTTTTTCTACACTCTGATATGAAACATGTGCTTGAAGATACCCAGTTTAGTAATTGACACTGTTTATTTCATTCCTTTCTAGCCATAAACCTGGTTTAAGAGAATTAATAACTATTTGTCAAAAGACAGTTGAATAAAGAATGTTATCTATTGGATTGTTGACTAAATAAAGGAAGTTATGTTTTGTATTGGAGTCCTGGTGTGGCGCTGTGGGTTAATACACTGGACTATGAAGTTGGCTTGAACCTCAAGGTTGGCAGTTCAAGCTCACTAGCTGCTCCTCGGAAACCCTATACAGGGTCGCTATGAGTCAGAATCAACTCAACGGCACTGACCAACAAAAACAACAATATATTGGATTGTGATTATGAAAAGAAATTATGCAAATAGGATCAATGCTCAGCTCCACATTCTCACTGTGCCAAGGTGCCTATGGTTTACCAGATGTGCTCTCAACAGTTATTCTTATACCTTGGCTCAATTACACATGTCTGAATCATCGTCACGCTGGGGAGAAATACAACTGTTTTGTGTCTCAGTCCATCATCTAAGGAGAGGGAATAGCTATAGTGCCTGACAACTGACCAATGCCCCTGCTCTGCTAAAGTACTTTTTCCTAGCATGAATTCTTCAGAGCAGTTAATAAAATAGAGTGTGTGTGTGTGTGTGTGTTTACATAGAAGAAAAGGGAAACTTATTCATCATTTCTATGCTTTCTTTGTAAGAAGGTTATGCTATACAAGTTATTATCTTGTCTACTTTATATTACTAATGAAAATAATTTAAACAAATATCTTTTACTGGTAGACTTTTCAACTACAATGTTATTTTCTAATTAATAATCTATTTTAAACCAACCTTTCTCTTCTCTCACTCTTTAATCTTTGGGTGGTTTCAGCTCCTATTTCCAACTACACAAATATGTCTATTTCATTTTAGGTGAATATGCTTCTAAAAAGACTAAAACTTTTTTTCTGTTTATTTTGTTTGTTTTTAGAAGAAGCATGATAAGCATGAGGCTATGTAAAAATGTAATGCTAGAAAACTTAATTACATAAAAATAACAAAATGTGAAACTTGTTTCTCAAAATATCTTGTATGTAGGCCCTATAGCTTCTGAAGATACTGTTTCTATCTCTCTAACCCTTCCCCCAAAGAATTCTGTGCTCTTGTATTTGCACCAGGGCTAAGTGGTGGGTTTGGCATGCTCAAGAGACTCAAATTGTGTTCCTTTTCAATGTTCTTTGAGTTTGGGGAAGTCTGGAGGAACAAGATAAGGACTGTAGAGTTGATGGGGCTAGTTTTTTCCAATGCAATTCTCATAGGGCAGCCCTTGCTACTCTTAAAGAATGAGCAGGTACATGATGGGAGAAAAAAATCCCTTGGTGAAACTTGCTGACCTTTAGCTCATGGATGCTATTTTCTTGTTCTTCTTCTTTTTAAAATTTCTTCATAATCAACTTCCCTGATTTTCCTGTGTCCTTTGCAGAGCCTCTCAGAAGTCTTTGTTTTGATTGGGCCCCTTCATTTGAAAGCACCCTAAGGAGACTGTTGTTGTGTGCCATGGCATTAGTTCTGAATCATAGGGTTTCCCAGGATGTAAATATCTATGGGCACAGAAAGCTTTGTCTTTCTCCATAGAGTGGCTGGTGGATTTGAACCTCCTACTATGTGGTTAACAGCCCAACTCATAACGCACTGTGCCACCAAGGCTCCCCTGAAGAGACTAAAATAGGTATATAACTAGGAGAACTTGTTGGCCACCATCCTTTGATTGCAGAGACATATTTAAATACATTTTATTTACTTACTCTCATATTTATGTTAAATAATTACAAATAAAATTTTATGAAATATATTCTTCACTATGATTGGATCATGTTGTTGGTATGTGCCGTGGAGTCGGGTCCGACTCATAGCGACCCTGTACAGGGTTTCTGAGGCTGTAAATCTTTACGGGAGCAGAAAGCCTCATCTTTCTCCTGTGGAACAGCTGGTAGTTTCGAACTGCTGACTGTTAGATTAGCAGCCCAATTCATAACCATTACGCTACCAGAGCTCCTTTGATTGGATCATAGTTGGCCTGGATCATAGTTGGTCTGAAAGGTAATACTACAAAGTTTAGATGTCATCTTATTGACAATGAATAAACATCAAAAGTGCTCTAAAAAAATCAAAGCTATGCTATGATTAGCTTTACTTTATAGCACATAGTTGTGGAATTTGTATCAAGAAGAGTTTGGAAGTCAGCATCAGGGAAAGAAAGTGGGTTCAGAGACAGTTAAAATTTGGGACTGATCTAATGATGGCTTAGAGAATGGGATTGGAAGAAGTAATAGTCTCTGAGTTGGTTTACATAGGCTAACGTCATGGTGTGGCACTGTAGAATAAGCACTGGACCTCAAGGTCAGTTTGAACAGAAAGATCAGCAGTTGAAACTCACCAGTCAGTCTTCGGAAACCCTAAACCGGGTCATGATGTATTGGAATTGACTTCAACTAACTGTTAGCCTACCCAAAACACTATGTCACCTTATCTATAATATGTAGAGATTGAGTCAAATAATCTCTAGAGTACATTTTAAAAATACCTCATGAGGGGAACATCAGAATGCTGCAGAGAACATGAACATACACTACACCAAAGAAGACATTCAGGAGACCAGCCACCATATAAAGAAATGCTCACAATCACTATCCATTGTTGTGGATAAGTGCCATCAAGTAGGTCTGACTCATAGGGCTTCCAAGGAGTGGCTGGTGTGTTTGAACTCCTGACCTTGTGGTTAGCAGTTCAGTGATCATCCAACAGCACTGGACCAGAACTAGCAGTAATAGCACAGTTAAAAACAAAAAACAAAAAAACCCAGAATGCAACAAGTGCTGGCAAGGGTGTGAAAAGTCTAGAACAGCTTGTGGGACTGTAAAATGGTGCAACCACTATGGAATAGCATGACACTTTCTCAAAAAGTTGGAAAAAGGAATATCATTGTTGTTGTTAAGTGCCTTTGAATCAGTTTGGGCTCATAACAACCCTGTATACAGTTTCCAAGGAGTGGCTAGTGGGTTTGAGCCACTGACCCTATGGTTAGCTGCTCAGTGTTTTTCCTACATTGCCATACCTGGACTCCAGAAATGTCATTGTTATTGTTAAGTAACACCATATGACCCAGCAATTCCTCTACTTGGTATATATTCTCAAAATATAAGAACCATGACTTGAATATATATATACAGCTATTGTAATACTATAGGATAAGCACTGGGCTGCTAACTGCAAAGTAGATGATTCAAACCCACCAACTGTTCCTTGGAAACCCTATCCATGGTCACTAGGAGTCAGAACTGACCCTACAGCACTTAACAACAGCAATGTTCATTACAGCAGTAGTCAGAATAGCAAAAAGATGGAGACAGTCTAAATGCTTATCAACAGAAGACTGGTTAAACAGACATACAATGGAATACTACAAAATGTCGAAAAATAATGAAACTACAAAACATCTCATAACACAGATGACCTGGAAGACGTTCTGCTGAACCTGGAAGTGACGAAAGGACAAATACTGTCATAAAAAGTTAAGAAAAGGTTTTCATACTAAAAGAAACATTCCATGATGGTTACCAGAGATGGGAGGGAAGTGAGAATTTAAAACATCTTTCAATCTGGAATTTACACAGATATTAAAATCAGCAAACAAAAATATTAAAACCATTATTATATTTTATTAATGCTGCAGAAATGTGAAAATAATGTTCCACTCTCAAATTTAAATTACTGAAAACTATATCCAAATGGTTGAGGTCCAGTCAATTGATGAAACAGAGTGTGAGCCTCCTTAAGGCTTAAATTATCATTTGATGATAATTTATTATGCTTAAATTAATCATATACATGTTATGTTGCCTGGACATAGGCTATGATTGAAGGATAATGGTTTTGGAAAGTAGATACTGACTCCAGAGATTCAGAGGTTGGATCAATGTGTCCAAACTGGTCATTATCAGCCATTGATGGTACACAATGAAGTCTGGACCCTAATGTGGAGCTCAATTTACTAGTGTCTGTACTTTGAAATATTTTTTTGAAAAATGCCTGAGATAACTCCATGTTAAAGATACCAATAGTTATAAAAAGTTTTTAAACTTTTTATTGTGATTTAAGTGAAGATTTACAGAGAAAATTAGTATTTCATTGAAGAATTCATACACATTTTCACTTCATGTCATTGATTACAATCCCACAGTTATCCCACTCAAACACACTCAAACACAGGGTGTGTTTCCTATTTCCCTTTTGCCTTTTTCCTCTCCTTTCCTGCCTTCTGAGCTTTGTCATTGGGTAAATGCTGCCCATTTGATCTGGCCTGGTTGCTTGTCCTCAGGAGTATGCAGCCCTAATGTTACTGCTCACCTTATTGACCTGTCTGTGGCTTGGGTGAAAATTGAGCTACAGGGATGATGAGTTCAGTTCGAGACTTGAAGGGTGACTAAGGATTATAGTTTCAGAAGTTCAACTGCTCTCTAGCTTACCAGTGAGTATGAACTTCCTTTATGATTTGAGTTTTGTTCTACATTTTGCTCTTATTCTCCAGAACCTTCTATCGTGATGCCTTAGGTAGTCTGACACCCTATAGTTCTTCTGGTCTAAGGATCATGGAGACTTAGGTTTGT